AGAATAATTATTAAAATATATTGGAGGTGCCAGATTTTTTGAATGGAGGCTGGTTTGCTACAGGGGCGCAGAGCTGTGATAAAGCCGAGTGGGATAATCAATAACCAAAAAGCCGAATATGACACACCTGTGCAAAAAAACAGTCTTATTTAGGGATTGACAGTACATGCACGTATATAGAACAACAGCAGGAGGCAATATCGATTAACAAAACACCAGAGCACCGTAGAGGCAGTGTTCCTACGCACCTCATACAGAGCCATGCAGCTACAACCAGAGTCAAGCCAGCAGCAATAACACAGCCTCAGATACAGCACTTTCAAAATGAACTGCATCACGAAATCATAGCAATACAACCCATGCAAGTGCTTCAGAATAAATCCAATCTGTACTTGAACACCTCCTCAGCCAATTGAAAAACACCAACTGTACATGGTAGACAAATTAGCCTGTATTTTTACATAGAGGGTTCCTTATTTATTTGTATTGTAGTTTTTTGTCATTATTATTGAAACAAAACAAATAAAGCTTTATTATTGTTATTTTGAAAATCACCGTACTTCCGGTTACGTTAGGTGCAATTGTGGCTGACTTGCCGCATCTCGCCACCTCCTCCCTCTCACAGACAATGAATGAAGCCAGTTTTGGGGATGAATAAACCCAGGATCACTTCAGGTATCATAACACCATTTTAGCATGGTAATAACAAAAAGAACACACACCAGATCCACGTTTAGCTCTGGTTAGGCTGTCCATTTTCCCCTTTACCTCACCAAATAGCGACAGGAAAAACACTCTAATCAATAATACCCCACCATGTCACACCATGTGGACATTTACAATAAAATAAATCCTTAAAATACATGTTAACATTTCCATTAAGCCCTCAGTGATACATTAATGAGCTTACATTACCTGCAGGATCAACTTCTCTGCGCTGCAGCGGACAGCGTTTACAAGCTGCGTCAAGTCAGCGTCATTCAGCAACACTACACCGGAAGTGTGAAGCCTTCAACATAAAAGCGGGGCGTAGATCAGATCAACTTTATTGATCCCAAATTGGGACTTTTTGCGTTATAGCAGCATGTTAAAACAAAGGCATTGCACATTATTTTAAGAAAAGAGTAGACAATAAACCCACATAAAATATAAACATCTCAAAATATAAAATAAAACTGAATTCAAAAGTAAAATATAAGTAATCCTTGTACTTTAGTGAAGATTCTGAGTATTTCTTCCAACACTGATACTAGTCCAGTCTGTCTTCATTTGTAATTAATAAATACATACATAATAATGTGTTAGTCATTATTATTGAGCAGTTTTCGGTTTTCCTTCAAAGCGTCGTGTTCTTATTATTAAAGCTAACGTGTAGCCTTATTTTGAAAACCGGAAATCATATATGACATTTTAGCCAGCTTGACGCTTTTAGCATTAACACCTTACTCACCTAGGATTACCGTAAATATGCTAATGTGTAGTTACACGTTTAGCTGCTAATATCTGACTCTATAATTGTTTGTTTTGTGTTTTATATCAGCTCGCTTTTTAACCGGGAATAACGTAAGAAAGGAATCCTCTTTAACGTAGATGCTGCATATTTACAAACAGCATTTCCGGGTAAAACTTTTTTCAACGACAGACTATGAACGTAGCTATGCAGCTTTCTACTGTGAAAATACAGCAAGGAGGCGTTTGGGGTCGATACAAAAACTACCTAATTCACAGCTACATGGGAAAACATGCATACACAATGGGAAATAAACGTCACATTTGTATTTTTATTTATATTTATCACTTACAAATTATGTTTAATTGGTTATGCTATTTTAGTGTCATGAATAAACCAAGTATAAAAGGCAGGAATGTTAATAAAAAGTCATCAATACTTGTACATTTGAACTTTTAAAGATAAAATCAACTCATTTCCGGTTCTTATGGACATAAAACCTTCAAATACATAACTCTAGCAAATTATTTAAGTTGCCATTACATATAATATTTATTTAAAATATGATGAGGTTCTTCATGCACGTAATTTGGCTTTCTCAGTGTCTCTTAAACCACATTGTAAAAATATAAAAAGGATGCAGCCCAAGTAGAACTGGAATCACAAAACACCAGCTAAACATGACCTCATTATTAATGTGCTCTCATCCGAATAATTAACTCATTAATTATTCAATAGCTATTCAATTATATCATTTATTTTATTGATTTGAATATGTAAAACATTACCTATAAAGCCTAAATGGGCAGGGCGCCTCCTATGTTGTGGATCCCGTATTCTAAAATCATACTTTTATCTCCCAGCGTTCGACTCCTTATCTGGCTGATACTGCCTATGCCTATGTATTTGTTTATGTGTGCATATGAGCCGTGTGTATTAATGTTACGCCGGTGTTACTTATTGTATTTAAGGTGGTGTTGGCTAACTGCTCTGTTCTGTACAGCACTTTGGTTAATGTGGGTTGTTTTTAAATGTGCTTTATAAACACATTTGATTGATTGATTTAACTCTAATATCTAATAACACCTATAACACACATTGGTATTAATGAAACTGATAGTACACACCACTGTCCATCCCATTGTAATGATTGAATTACTTCATGAATTTAATTTAACAGAAAACATTAAATATAATTATATTGACATGAATATATATATGTAAACATACATACAAAAGTTATATTTAAGATGATTTAATATATATCATTAAAATGAACATATGATTGTTGAAAATGATATCTATGGAAAAACGTTTGCCGAAAAGTACAAGATACACAACCTTACTGTTTTAAATAAACAGTGTAATACAGTAATCAGTGCAGTTTATGAATAATAAATAATAATCATCTTATATAAATGTTGTTAAATGTGTGTCAGGATGAATTATCTAAGTCTCAAACGGATCACTTGTAACTTAGATACCTGCAATAAAGTATAAATACACTTTAAAAATCTTACCTTTTTCTGCATCAACCTGTGATATGAGGTGAGTTGATCCTCATGGAGCCTCTGAAGGAACACAGAGAGCCTTCAGGTGTCGGTGCTGCACTCAGACTGTTTTCTACCTGTTGCCAGGTGCCTTAAAGCCTCTGAGGAGGAGGAGGAGGAGGAGGAGGGGGGTTGGAGCTGTTGGGAAATTATGATTAGAAGATCCCCCAGGGCCAATGAGATCTCATAACTAACGGTCTTATGCAATGATCAGCGCGTCGTTTGTTATATAAGAGCGGAAGGTCAGCCGCTCACAGCCGGCCGGGGACTTCCTCTGTCACCACAACAAAGTGGGTCATCACAGCAGGGGGTCTGCATCACTGTGAGCAGAGAGAAGGGGGTCCCTGACATTATATGAAAGGGGAGGCAGATTGATGGATGGGTTACAGATATTAGCAGTCACTTTGCAGAATTAGCTTGTTGAGTGTTCTGTGTGTCAACAATCAGCTTAAAGGAAACACTAACTCTGATTGGTTCCTGGTGTTTTGGTTCATCCTGTTATCTGATTTGTTCCCAGAATACCTGACTTTCACCATTCCAAAAATAAAATGATTTTGGGCTACAATAAAGAGTGATCTTAGTTAGATTCAAACACTACGCTCGACGTAGCGTCCCGGGATTTGCTCCAAAAACACATATTTACTCAGAAAATTGCGGTATTGCTTAGCATCCAGATTTGTGTAACTGGTTCCCACTGCATGCTGGGTATCTCTTCAAATACTGTTACCTACTATAGGCAATAACTTAAATTAATAAATAAATAAATTACTATTAAAAAAAGGCCTCAGGATGTAAGAAGCCAGAGGGTCCGTCACCAGGCTTTAAAATAAACTACATTTAAACCGGCGGAGTCTCGTTTTTTTACAGGTTATTCAACCTTTATAAATGTTTTTAATTAAATGTTTTTTATTTGAGGTCTGGGAGGCATTTTGTGAAACCTTCTGTGTATCAAACGTTTATATAAACAAAGATTTTTACTGATTAATCGATTGACATTTTAATGGAAAGTGGTTGAAACTGAAATAAAAAAACGAATACCTTTTTGTTTAACTAGTAAGTTTCTACCGATTGGTCAGAGCCGTTATTTGTGATACTGAGACTGCCAAGGCACACGAAGTTATATAGAGGGTATCCAGTGGCGATCCTAGAGTCAGTGGGGGCCCTAGGCAAACATTCACCGGGGGCCCCTCGAACCAGCTTTTCATCACCACGCACAGCCGACAGTCTGGAGCGGAGCAAGGCAACACAACTTAAGATGAGAAGCAGCATTTTACGGCGCGCTATGCATGGGGCCGCCTTGAGGGGGTTTCCCGACATGTCGTTCCAGTAAATTAAAGGGTGTTTCATGTTGTCGTTGCTGTGGACCTTCTTAAATCTACCTTCTTTGGGGGGGGCCCTTCTGGTCCGGGGGCCCCAAGCAGTTGCCTGCCTTGCCTGTTCGCAAGGAGCGCCCCTGAGGGTATCCCATGTTTAACAAAAAAGATACAGCAACCGAGTGTGTGGAAGGTTTTTACACAAAACAAGCCTGCGAACATGGTGAAGAATAACTAAGTGTGTGTTCAGCTCCTCCTCGTGCTGATATTGTGATATTGGGGAAAAGAAACACACACATGCCTCTGTATGGTTTTCTGCAAATGAATTCATACTTATTTATAATTCAGGTTCAATGTTGTCATTCGATTATAAGACAAAACATCATTGTTAATTGTATTGGAACTAATACCTAAATGTCAAACTAGATCCAGATTTTAGTAAATAAAAAAAGGTTGTGGTTTCAGACATCAAATAATAAATATACATGTCCTGCAAAAATCTTTTAAACGACAATATCATTTGAGGGAAATTTGGGATATATGTGGTTTGAAGTTAATATATTTTACTCAAACACATGCCTACAAATAAAAAAGGAAAGCGGTCGCCTATTCTAAAAATGATCCAGGATAAAGAGAGTAATTTGATGTGCAACAGCGCCCTCTGCAGGACAGAAAATGGGCCTACAATCACATTAAACAGAACTTTATTGATTATAATTAAACGTACATTTTTATCGAAGAAGTCACTTTACACCAAAGACTTTAAAAATGCTCCTTCTGAAAAGCTTGTGTGCAAAATATAATAACGCACTAACATTTCAAATGTGGACAAGCTGTGTCATTAAAAAAAAGGCATAACTTGAATAATCTTAGACGACACCTTTGCATGAAATAAAACTGATTTAAAGAGAATGGTAAAAAAGTAGAAACAACCATAACTTGAGATAAACTCTTTAAAAAGGGATCATTAAAAGGTTAATTTGATCCAGTAGAAAGGCAGGTAGTGCTCGGATGTAATCATCGTAACAGTGTGACCTGACAGCTCATTTGCTATTAATGGCTTCTGGTAAAAAAAAACTAAGCATATAACCTCCCATTTTAACTGTGGAGGTACAAGTTAGGGCTCCACAATGAATCAACATGTTGGATAAAGGCTGACAATGTGTTTAAATGTAATATTAAATAAAGTGTGTGCAGCTGCAGAGATATCCCGGCCTATACATTGTTATCTACAAACTTAATCCATCCAATATCCTGATTGTGATACCAGCCAAAATAATCGTTATTTTTCACCAAATTGTGCAGCCCTAACGCAAGTAAATACAATCATTTGGAAGCGAAAGCTGTGTTTGTTCAAGCGTTGCATATAGCCTGCACATGCTAACGTGCTAGCTGCTGCTGCTGCGTGTCACCGTGGTTTCAGCTGAAGTCTCGGTCGGACAGGATCACCGGGGCGATGAGCGTCCAGAGGAAGATGGCCAGGCCGAACCAGCTGGAGCCGATCTTCACCCACACCGAGGGCATGGTGCTCTTCATCGTCTCGTAGGCCGCGTCGGGCCTGGGGAACCAATCAGGGAGGAGGAGTCAGCAGTGGATCGAATTTAATCCATGCATTGTGGCTTGTTAGATGTAGCAGTCATCACATACAGAACATTAGGTACAACTAGTCCATGAACAGTGTCCTTCACATGCTGATATCGAAGAGAGGGAGTTCCACAGTCACAAGATGGAGGAATAGAAAGCAGTATTCAATGTTTACTTCAGATTAGCTCCACGTCAGAAATTATCATGCTTGTCATATGTCTCTCTCCATAGAGGCTGAATCATCATCTTAATCACATAGCTAATTAGCTATCATATGCCTCAAACAGTCCTGATGCTTTTCTAGGTAATCACACATCCTGTCATGGACACAGCTACAGTTGGGATACCTTTGTTAGCATGTGCTACTCTGATATTGGAAGAGGACATTCACCATTTTCCCAACATATGTAAATGTCTATGTCGGGAAAATCAAGTACAAAATTGTCCCGTAATGTTACAACCTGCCGACACGAGGCTCCCTCTGTGGCGTAGGAAAATGTGTTGGGTATTTTTTTTCACCAGGAGTCAAATAGAGTGGTGCAGGAATGAGTCCTAAATGAGTCAGCATTTTATCACTTCCTGTCGCCTTCGTCTGGAAGTCAATGTTTATATTTTGTAAAGGGTTGCTAGCCTGATTTATGTCAGCAAATACCCCACTGGTGACTTTAAAAATGAGACGATAAGCCTTTAGCTTAGCGGTGGTGACGGGAAGTGATGTGACCGTGCTGTAGTTCCTTTATAGCCCAACATTAGCCTCCTTTAGCTTAGCGGTGGTGACGTGAAGTCATGTGACCGTGCTGTAGTTCCTTTATAGCCCAACATTAGCCACCTTTAGCTTAGCGGTGGTGACGTGAGGTCATGTGACCGTGCTGTAGTTCCTTTATAGCCTAACGCTAGCTTTTTACTTCAGAAATCATAATGTGGTGTTAATAAGTGGAGATTTTCCTGCTGAACAAAACGTGTAAGTATCATAAACGTTTATTTGCCACAAAGATTCTTTTCTGCAATATACCAAAATATGGAAACATCCTATCATCTTTTTTCTTGCTCTTTAACTTCTGAGGTTTCCTACAGAAATAGCTCCTCACGGCCCCGCTCTCTAACAGGCTGTGGGGACGTACTGGGGTTGTTGCTCATGGCCGACCAGGTGATGTACATGGTGTAGAGCGAGATGAAGGAGGCCTGCAGCAGGCCGGAGCTGGGCTGAGCGTCCTGTGGAGACATGAGGGAATACATCAGAGTGCAACTAAAACAAAACTCTCTTCATAGAGTGCCACAGTGACGCGTCCTAAAACCCGGAAGCAAACTCCTTCCGGGTCCTTGGACAAAAACCAATGCAATTTCTCCATAGGATTTCCACACGTCTACCCTACTTTTATAATTTTCGAGAAATTGCAATGGTTTTTTGTCGAGGGAACCGGAAGTGGTAAAATACTAACTTACTTCCGGGTCACTGTTGCACTTAATTGTTTAAATTACTTCCTGAGATGCAGGTGAGAAAAAAGTAAATGGTGATCATTTTCTAAGTTTGATTTCCTTTCTCATTTGACTTATGAACTAGTGATGGGAAAATAGTGATTGAGCTCATTCAAAGATACAGAAGTGTGCATGATACACCACTAAAATGACCACAAATGAAAAAGATAGGTCAAGTTCCAACGGGACAGAAAGCAGCCCCCCAGATTTCTTGTGTAATACTGTTGGTACTTCTAAAAGAAAGACAGGATCTAAAAGTTTCCTTGTTATGAAGTGACAGGCAGTCAGTGGTGTATGTAGAGGGCAGGTTATGCAACGCCTTGTAAATGATTAAAAGCACTTTGAAATCAGTGATAGAGGTATGGCATTAAACGTGGAGGGAACAAAATACCATCATTGGAGGCATTAATAATGATATTGTATTTAAACTAGTCTCTTATTACCTGGACTTTGGGCAAGATGGACACGACGGACACGATGATGCAGAAGATGAAGTTGAGGCTGATGAAGACTTTGTGCTCCGTGCAGTCGTCGGGTTTGGTGTAATAAACGTAGAAAACCACGACGGCGCTGAACGCCAGGGCGTAGAAGATGGCGGTGAACGTGAGCAGAGCTGCGGAAAACATCAGTAAACAATCACATGAGGGCTGACTCATATAGGGTTCATCCTATTACTATCTACGCCGGGATCCTGAGTCGTGGCTGAACCTGTCTCTGCGGTCCTGTGTCCTGGATCCTCTATCCTGAGTCCTATTTGAGTCGTGGACTTCGAGTCGTGGCTGAACCTGTCTCTGTGGTCCTGCCTGACTCTCATCATACTACTTCCCTGATGGCTGCCACCGGATTACTGACATCCTCGTGGATTCATCTTCTTATTACAGACACATGCATTTCCAAAAATTTGGTCTACCTACGCTGTAAAATGTATTATCTCTTTGATTTACACACGGCATCTATTGCACGTCTGTCCGTCCTGGGAGAGGGATCCCTCCTCTGTTGCTCTCCCTGAGGTTTCTCCCATGTTCCCCTTTAAACTGTGGGGTTTCTCCAGAAATGTTTCCTTGTACGATGTGAGGGTCTAAGGACAGAGGGTGTCGTATTGTCATACTGATATTCTGTACAAACTGTGAAGTCCACTGAGACAAATGTAATATTTGTGATATTGGGCTATATAAATAAACATTGATTGATTGATTGATTGATTGATTGATTGATTGATTATTACTCGACCAATATTAATGGAATATTTGTAAAGAAACATTGCTTTGTTCATGATTTGAGTGATTTATTGTTGAATTGTTTAAATTCTGATAATATGAAACCCTGCCATGTGAGAAATTGAGTGAGAATGCTATTTTTTATTTATGAAAACTGACATGAATACATTGACCTACAGGGATTGCCTGGGGCGGCGTTGGCTGATGGGGGAAATAAGGCGTATACCATCATAGGGTCAGTGGTTTGAAGCGTCTTGTGGGAAGATATCTCAAATGTCTTTGATAAGCACGTCTACGATAAGTGTTTGTACGTTGTTTCGGAGCGTCAGCTAAATATCACGTAGTGGAATGATCACCATTGGGAAAACTCACTTGTAAACGTGCACTTTAAAAGTTGATTTGAGTTCATTTTGGATAAATACCTGCGTACCAGAACTTGGAGTTCCCTTCTTCGGCCTTCAGAAGCCAGGACTGGTTCCAGGAGTGAGCAAAGTCCACGAGGAGGATGAGCTGCACCACGATGAAGAAGAACGAGCCCACCATGCCGAAGTAATACCACACTGAGGGGGGGCAGAAAGAGATTAACAGGGTTTATTCATAAGGTAATTAGACTAGGATAGATCATTTACAGTGATACACCATCGAGCAGTAGAGTGTAGGTCATCATTTATCAGATCTAGTTGTAACATAACATGATGTTTTAGCCAATTAACAAAATAAACAATCTTCCCCATTTCCATTAATCACATTGAGGTTAGAGGCGGTCATTTAGAAGCAACATCAATGAGCTGCAATGGGAGGTTGACCTGCGACGTATGCAAATGTTAAACCGGAGTTGTTGGCTGGAAATGACCTGTTCTTTGTATTTAACTTTATCAACACAAGCTTTTTTTTTTTAATAACAAAAACTTATTTTCATTTAGCAAAAGCAAAAGACGTAAACCTAACAATTAAAGTAACGTTTTAAATCACAGATTTTCGATAAAGAAAAGTGAGCAAAAAGTCTATTTGGATAATCACAGACATCTAGAGTAAACATGGTTCAAAAACTCAAACTAAAAATGTACCTGAGAATCCTTTGAAATAAAAGCTCAAGCCAATGAAAAAATGATGTTATGATGAATTAACTTAATACAAAACAGAAATAAAATAAATACATGTTGTTAATAAATACACTACCTGTGTTAAAGATGCCGTCGGGGATGAAGAACGCTCCCACGGTGATTCCCACCAGGATCAGGAACTTGAAGAACCAGAAACTGAGAGACAAGAGGAGAAGTTATTCCAGGTGTGTTCCTACTCTCTGATTATAGTCTGAGTCACGTGTGTGTGTGTGTGTGTGTGTGTGTGTGTGTGTGTGTGTGTGTGTGTGTGTGTGTGTGTGTGTGTGTGTGTGTGTGTGTGTGTGTGTGTGTGTGTGTGTGTGTTACTTTTGAGAGGTAGAAAAAGGGTCCACTCCCGTTTCTGAAGAGTTTCTCTCCACAGTGAAACATGAGGAGTCCAAAGTCAAAGAGAGGACCAGGAGCCTCCTTCCCCCCCACCTGGTAAAGAGATTCATACACAATATTTATCTTTATGTATACATTTTTGATAATTCATATAGTTATTTGGCCTACAATACGTCAAATACAATGAAAAATACCCATCAAACATTACCATAGATACAACAAAATCACACATTTGAGCAGTATAGCGACATTCAAATTATTCTGTACAGCCATTTTCGTTTTCTAGACAGATATCAGTTTAATAACACATTGTATTTTGATACTACCACAAGGTAGCGCCCAAGTAAAATTAAGTCAAACCAGTTTAGGCTTTTTTCCATTTAACCACCTTCTGTAGAAGAGAATAGAATGAGTGAGGTACAGAGTGCTACTACCATCATGTTGTGCTCCACCATGTTCCAGGCTCTAGGACGGAGCATCAGCACAGGAGCCTGAGATATGTGTGGAGCATCTGTAACACATGAGAGTGCACAGTGACGTACATGTGCTATCACAAATATTCCTGAACATGTACAGTTAGACCGTCCAGAAAAACGCGGGCAAAAATCCTTGATTATGCGGGCTAAATTCCTTGATTATGCGGGCTAAAATCCTTGATTATGCGATTAAACATGCAGGGTTTTTATGTGATTTTATGCGGTGAAATTGCGGGAAGTTGCGAAATATGCGGAAAGTTGCGAAATATGCTAATATGCTGGGAAAAGAATAAAAAAAAAAAAAAATATTGGGCTGTCTTATTTATTCTCTCTCACACACAACCTCCCACTAACGTTAAACCCCTTTACTATTCAATTAAACAAATGCAATGTTTATTTATTGTAAAAGCAATTGGGCTATTTTAATCTCACACACACACACACACACACACCCCCCCCCCACACACACTTCTCCGCCTCATTCTGTTTTCATTTACTCGTTCGTTATCTGACCAGCTTCAATCTTGTAGGCTACTCACTTCGTTTCTTGTAGCCCTCGAAAGGGTTTTGGAGGTTGATGCCTCGGTGAACGTGCGTTGTTTGGCTTTCTTGTCCGCAGCAGCAGAAAGCATTTTCGAATGTTTGAATGAATCAAAGTGGGTCGT